CGGCTCGGGGGGCTGCAGGAGGAGAGGGGGGGGGGTCGGGAGGAGCCTGCAGGCGGCCAGGCCAAGCTCCGCGTCCTCCCTCCCGGGTGCGGGCCGCGGGGGGCGGCCGCGGAAGGGCGGGGCCCCAGGGCGGGCGGCCGGCGGCCCTCGAGGAGCCCCGAGAACAAAAGGAGACGGCGACGGCTCCTGCGTGGTCAAAACAACCTGCACTGGCGGCGGCCCAAGGCCGGGCCGCGGCCTGGAAGCCCTTCACCTTAACCCCTTCGCCGCCGCCGCCTTCTTCCTGTGCCTCGCAGGAGACCGAGAGGGGCCAGCCCTCCCGGGAGCGGGCGGGGGGCAGGCGACCCGGCCGAGGCGGGACGCGCTCCCCGCTGCCCTCCGATCCCCTCCACCGCGCGCCTCCTACCTGCCCCGCCCCCTTTCCCACCTGGATTCCGGGTAGACTTGCCAACTCACTGCTACGTGAGGCTAGGCGGGGTGGGGGACTGATCCGACCCGATAGCGCCTGCGGACGTTTTTATATCCCACCTCCCTGCAGCTAGGCTTTTCCAGGCGGCGCGCTCCGCACCCTGCAAGCCAGGGAGAGCGATTCCTCTTGCAGGGTGCGGGCGCAGGTATGGCGGGGCCTCAGGCACACACCGCCTTAGGGCTGGATTCCTTAAGAGCCCCCACTCCTCCCTAATCCCGAGTGCCCGAAGCCGGTCTCTCGGCACCCCCGCCGCGCCCAATACACAGGCTGCTCCAGGACCGCGCTCTGGGGCTGGGCATGCCCTGTGCGGGCCCGAGGGAGCCCATCCCGACCGGGAGCCGGAGCCAGGGTGGGACGCAAACCTCTGGATACAAAAACGTCTGGCGTGGCTGCAACCATTTGCGCGAGCTCGCACCTTCCGTGCAAGCCGGGTCCCGGATAGAACCTAAGCTGGAACCCAAGTGGGCTTGGGAGGACGCGCTGTCTTCTGCACCCTCGGCACCACCCCACCCCCTCTCCCTTCAGCTGGGAAGAGGCTTATTCTCGGGTTCCTGAGGGGTGGGAGACAGGTCCACACACACCCTCTCCCGAAGCCTAAAGGCGCGGAGATCTAGGATCGCCCCTGGGAAAGAAAACCACCGCTGCCTGCTCCCTTGAGAGCCTGGCACCCCCCGGACCTCGCGTTTCAGCCCTCGGAGGTCACCTAGCGCCCAGCGCCAAGCCCACGGGCTGCAAGGGTCCAAAGTTCACTGCAGGGAGGGGAGGGGGCGGCCAAAGGTGGGGGCGGAGGTAATGAATGAAACGAACCAGCCCCACCACGGTCGCAACTCACCTCGGCGCTGACCAGACGCAGGTAGCAGCAGAGAGACAGGAAGAGCGCCCAGCAGCGATTCATGCCGACTCCGGGCCCGGCCCCGCGGGGCCCCGGACGCGTGGACGGAGCGCGCCGCCCCCGCGGCCAGGGTGGAGGGCGGGGGCTGGAGAAGGAGATGGGCTAGGCTGGGGTCTGCGGCGATCAGGCGCTCAGGCCGCTGCAGCCGCTGCCGCGGCTCACCCGCATGGCCCCTGGGCGCCGCCGCCTTCGACCCCGGCTCCGTCGTTGGTGGGTTGGGAAGGGCCTGGGCGCGGGACCAGGGTCCGAGGCCGCTACCTGGGCGGATCCCGAGCCGGAGCGAGCATCCACTGCCGGGGGGCTGCGTCGCGAACCCGCCGAGGCGTCTAGCCGTGTGGGGGCGCCCAGGGGACTCCAACCTCCAAGAGGAAAAAGAACACGGCAGCCGATGGTTCGTCTTCACTCGCCGGCTACAGGCGTTCTCCTCTGCCCACCGGCTTAGCTTTTTTGCAACATTTTCTGGAAAGGCCCCCGAAGTCGGAAAGCGCAGAGCTGGGCACTTCAAAGCCAAAGTCTCCCCCCTAAAACTTTTCCCAAAGTTGGCTTTGCAGCGGCGGCCCGAGTACCCGGGCAGGGAGAGGTGCAAACTCCCGCCCGGGCCGGGTGGGGGGGCCGGAGCGTG